AAAATCAAATTTGCTTAAGACTGAGCTGATCCCCTCTTTTTTTCCCTTGTTATGCTGTCTCCAATATTTATTCGCCTTTTTTTCAATGGGGAATCCTGTAGAACAGGTGAACTGTTTCAACAATACAGCCACCTGTTTCACTTGTCTTGTTCATCTAGATATTCAATATTTGAATGCCAATACAGTTGTTTACCATTCATAGTTAGTTGCCTAGATTTTGCCAAAGTTTTGTTTGGCAAAATCTAGGCTTGCCATATTTTTGACCCCCTTCCAAGGTCTTGACATGCTTCTTGTGTCTACTTCTCTGGGAAAGTTTCACCTTTAATTCAGATTCTTTATCTGACATTTTAAGTGACTTTGGTGTGCTTCATTAACTTTTGACTTCCTCCTTTTGCTATTGTACTTGCTCTCAGCACTTCTGCCTCTTTACTACAAATGTCAGCCACCCATTTGTCATGCAGCATGCAGCACTGGGTGTTTTTTTTTATTATAATAATACTGTAATAAAAACATTATCTATTTCAGTACTCCTTTTTTATCTTAGAATAAATAAGATTGATAACGATAAATACACTGTCTCATTTTTTTCTATTTGATTATGGACATTTCTCTTGTGTAAACTTGCAGTTAACTTTCTCTTTTTCTTCCCAATACAGTGGGCAAGATGAAGGATCTGACAGACGCCTCCAGCAAAGCTTGGAAAATGATTCAATTGACGCCAAATATGGTTTCATCCGCTACAAGGATACTCAGGAAATTGTTGGATGGCTCCTCAACATGCACCCTGTAAGCTGCAAGTTTCTGGAGCTTTCTTGATTTTGTTTCATATTGTGATCAGTTAGTACACCTTTTGCATACTTGTACATTTTACCTGACAGTGTTATGAAGCTTGACAACATAGCTGGAAGTTTGCCTAAGATGGTATTGTTCCTGCAAAGTTAAATAACTATGACATACAGTATCACACTGTATCCATATAAATTGTACAGTGTCTACCCATTAATAGTTCTGGGGATTATCACCAGCAGTCATAGGTGATAATCTGGTCAGTCAGGTTGTTAGTCTTTTTTTTTTTAAACCCAGGATAACTCAATAGAGTTAAGCTATCATCAAGGGCTCTCTCTCTTCTTTCTGTTGGGGTTCTTTAATCCTCTTTTCAGGATACAAACCACACCAGTCAGTTAGCACCCATCTGCCTACTTGCTGCTAGGTTAACAGGGCCCAGTAATATAGCTGCATGCATACACTCACATTCCTCTTGTCAGAATTCATTGGTTTAAACCTAAACAGCTAGGTGAACAGGAAAAATAGTGAAAGAAAAAATGTCCAGAGTTTCCACTTGTACCAGAGATCAAATGTGCCAAAGATCATGCCTTGGTGTGTGAGCTGAGGCAGCTACCAACAAAGCAACTGGGGAATGTAGTTTACTGTAGGCACCACTCCCTGGCTAGTTAGGAATAGTTTAAAGGCATTTATCAAGCTCACTTTCAGACAGCTATGGATCTGTTAATAGTTTTTCTTTACATTTGAAGGGATGGTGTTAAAAAGCCTGGACCCTTTATGTATCTGCAGTACTGTATTTCATATACTGTATGCACTTAGAAGGGATTATTTCTTGTACAGCTTCTTTTTTTCATTAATAGATACCTTGATACCTTCATTAATAGATACCTTGATATCTTATTTATATAGCTTATATCTGTTTTCTTTAATAATAGGACAGTTAACACAATGCTCAGTTAAATTATCATGAGTCTGATTATACTTTGTACTTGAACAGTATGCCTTACTGCTAAATGTTGTGTATAATATATTGCATATAACCAAACCTAAGCCTGGTTATTCCTTAAAGTGAGAGTGCCATTGTAAATGTGCTTGTATACATTCATGTTTTCATAATTATTTATAGATTGCTAAAAATTTCTACATTCATCTGAATTTATAGTACAGTATTTGGCAATTTTGCTGACTAAGTCCTATTTTCAGTCAATTCCATTGCTTATATTGACTAAATTCTTAGTTGTTTCACTAATATGCCTTTTGTTCTTTCAAAACTACCCTCTAAAGTGCATAGAAATTGGTAATTTGGCCAGTTTTACTTAAAATTAAAAAAAAAAAAAATCCAATTTAAAGGGAGTTGAATACTGACTGGGGGTGTAGGGGGGTTAATCCCTTACCCATCCTCAGGAAAATTGGCAAAAATCAAATATTTCTGCCACTTTGAGGCTGATTTCAAGCAGTTTTCAACCCTTGATCCAACCAAAATCATCCCTATTTCTGTAGTATGTCTTCCCTTCTATCAAATATACCAAGAAACTGCCAATAAAACTACAAAAACTATCCTAGAAAACACTATTTTAACCCTTAAACTGTCCAAACGTAGATCTACATTGATGTGCGTAGCGCTCCGAATGTAGATCTACATTTTCTTTTACATGCTTTCAAATGGAGAAAATAAAGGTCAGAGCTCTACGCACGTGAACGTAGATCTACGTTTGGACAGTTTAAGGGTTAAACCAAACATGTGGTCAGAATTTTCCTTTTCTCATCATATACAGTATGAGGCTGGATTTTTTTTTATACTGTGCTCACTCACTGTACAAACCCATTCTCTCATAGGCAAAAATTTACTGTTCACAGTATATCTGAATGAACTGATCTCATGACATATATTTGTGATGGACCTTGACAACAGTAACGTAGGTCTGCGTGATGGACAGTGACAGGGTTAATGGAAATGTGCACCACCAGTGAAAATGAATTCCACTCCAGTGCCACTTAATGGAAATGATGCAAAAAAATACTTTAGGAAAGGAAGTACATTTAAACTGCAGAACATTAAACACACAAGCTACAATAGCACGAATTATAGGAGTTTTCTGTATGTTCTTCCTTTACCTAATGTATCGTAATTACTTTCAGATAAGTGTATATTTTTCCCAGCAAGTTATTTTTTCACTAGTATGGTGACTTTCACTGCCATCAGCTATGCTATTCTAACTCCTTCCCTGCCTTTTCACTCATATATCCTTTCAGTTTCCTTTCATGTAATGTTTAATCCTTTTCCTTAGTTTTGTTTGACAGATTTCACTTATTCACTTCATCATATTCCTTTACTGATCCCTTCTATGTACAGTTATTACTGTTGTTTCTTTGTTCAGTTACATATTACATTTATTTCTTTGTACAGTTATTACAGTAATACTAAAGTGTCACTTACATGGTTTCTATTTTTTATTAATTTATGAATAAAAGATAGGCCCATGTAAGCAATTCACTTTAGTATTACTGTAATAACTGTACAAAGAAAAACTGTAATAAATTCAGGATATGTAACTTTGAATTATTTGTGAGGATGTACTCTGCTACATATAAAAAGTTCAATTATATTTTTCAGACAGAAATCCTTGATGCAGATAAGAGGCTTGTGAGTGCTGTTGACTATACTTTATCCAAGAGGATGGCTCCAGGTTTAAGGTAAAAAATAAGGTTGACTTCTAATGTACGGGTAAGATGCCAGATGAAAAATGCACATCGCTGTTTTTAGAATTAATTTTGGATGTTGTTCAGTACTCAGTAAAATAAAGGAAGGTCTTGAGCTTATGAAAAGGTGATTACAAAATATATAATATTTCTTTTTTGAAGAATCTACTGTGTGTTGAACAAACCTCTGGGAAGAGTTAACATAGTTAATGCAGTATTTTATAAAATATGTGAGTGTAAAACGAAAGCCTGTAATTGTTTTACTTTATGGTAGGATTGGTTGTGTTTTTTTCTGTCTCATAAACATGCAAGATTTCAGGTATGTCTTGCTACTTCTACTTACACTTAGGTCACACTCAGATGCATGTACAAGCATTTATATACAGTGAACCCCGACTTAGGATATTAATCCGTTTTCCCGGGAGCACATGTAAGACAAAATTATCGTAAGTCGAATTAATTTTACCCATAAGAAATAATGGAAATCATAATTAATCCATTCAAGACGCCCAAAAGTATAAAAAAAAATTTTACCACATGAAATATACATTTACCTACACACAAAAAGGATTTCATGCACAATGTATATTGTGCATTTTATAGTGTACTAAATGAAGAATAAAGACACCTTTATTGAAGATGTGGTGATGAGTGACACTGTTTGTGTCCTGGGAGTGCCTTTTCCTCCTGAGCAATGTAGGTCCCGTTTGGCTTTTCTTCCAGAACGGCCTTATCCCCACGATTCTTAAATCTCTCAAACCAACCCTTTGCTGGCCTTAACCCTTTCAGGGTCCAGAGGCCAAATTTCAAAGTGTGCCCCCAGTGTCCAAGAATTTTCAAAAATATTTTGTTTTTTTTCTTATGAAATGGTAGAGAATCTTTTTCTGAAGGCACTAAAACAAAAAGTACGAAATTTGACGGAAATTGACGAAATTATGCTCTCGCAATTTTGATGTGTCAGCGATACGCATCGACGATTTTTGCTGACTTTGACTCCCATTTTTAGGCCAATTCATTTTTTCCAGTCGACCCAAATTCTTAGCTATTTCACTAGTATTACTTCTGTCGTTGAGCACAAGAATTTGCCAAGTCAACTGTTTCAACTACAAATAAGTGATCGGAAATTGGTAATTTGGCCAATTTAAAGCAAAGTTCAAAATACTCGTTCAAAAGGGGCCGAATAAACTTGCAGGATTCCTGCCTAAACTAACATTTGCTTGTTATTAGTTACATTTGGGCTTACAAATGAATTCATTTTGATTTTTTATTACAAAATAAATTTTTATTCAACCAAAAAATAGAAGATTTCGTTTGCAATATTGAATAATTGTAAAAATTATTCAGCACATTTGTGAATTTATTTAGCCCCACATTTCATGTATTAGAGTGTGAGGTCATTGTTTGTCTTAAACATTGGAAAAAAATTTTACATTTCCGCTCTTCGAGTCGTTTCAAGCCTTTTCCCGTACTAAAACCAAAATCAAAATCATTCTATTTCTGTTTTTAAATTTTTCCATTCTACAAATGAGCCCAAAGAAATCGCAAATAAACTATAAAAACACGCAAAAACACTGGAAAGTTTTTTAATAAAAAATTACGGCTCGGTTTTTTCTCTTTTTAAACTATGTGCTGGGATTGTTTTATGTGGTGCAAAAAACCACTTGATTATTCTCTCATCCCTGGGCCCAAAAATTTACCATCACGCTTATCAGAGGAGCTGAGCTTATACGTAGATCTCGGTTTGGACACTAAAAGAAAAGCCGGACTAGGGCACGGACCAAAAAGGTTAAATTCACCATTTTTGGCATTTATTCCTGGCTTTTTTTCCCCTGTTCACCTGGGTGTAGTCGACGGGGGGGATCGGGGGAAAGTTTAAAGGGCCCCAAATGGAAAAAGTTAGAAGCCCTCTGACACACTGACTTTCGGGGTTTATCCTGGGGGGGCTAACCCTCGGGGGGTTAAATTGTTTCTTGGTTTCTGAAAAAGCCACCCCAACAGTCTCTCCAAATCTTAAAGTAGTACAGCCCCGTGGTGCAGAGAGCGCCCGTGTGCAGCAGCACAGCTCCGTGGTGCAGCAGCGTGACCGTGGTATAAGTGTTTCGAAGTATTTCTCCCCCTTTTCCCAAGGGGTTTGGCATAGAAGCTTTTTTGGGCCCATGGTGGCTTATTAAGGGGTTAAAGCAAAAAAACACTGGTAATACAAAATTTATCGAATGTATAATGCAACGCCCACCCTGGCTTTAAACAATGTCACATCTCAGTGAGGCCCCCCGGGCCCAAGCACCAGAAGTCGCTTTTGGGGGATAAATGGAAAGTGATTTTTTTAAGTGGTCGGGGTAAAATTTTTATGCTGACAACATCGTAAGTTGGTTTTATCGTGTTAAAACTCATAAGGGGGGTCCACTGTGTTATATAAATATATTTTTTTTTAAAAAAGTCGGCCGTCTCCCCCCGAGGCGGGGTGAACCAAAAAAAAAAGAAAACCCCCAAAAAAAAAAATATTTTTATCATCTTAAACTTTCACCACACCCCAAACTTATTACTGTTTTTGCAGGGTGCTCAGAATACAACGTTTAGAAGATATATTTTTAAAGATCCAACATACCCCAAAAACGAAAATACCCCAAACCCCCCCCTTTAAAGTGCAGGATTGTCTTCCATTTCCAGGACTAAAGTCCAATATATAAAAAAACCATTTCCCTGAATACTTCACTAAATCAGTTTCCCTTGTCACCCCCAACAACGTCAGGTCCCAAGCCCCTTCGTCCCCTTTCACTCCTTTTCAAAAATCCCGCACGCTGGCGGGAAAGTCCAAGCCCCTCGCCACAAACCTTTTTTCACCCTCTCCAACCCTTCGGGGAGACCCTACCCCCCTTTCCCTTTCCCCTATGATTTATATGCTTTCCTGTCATTCTACTTTGACCCCAATCTCTCTAAAGACCAAACCCACCCCCAAAAACCCTCTTCTGCCCTCTGCAAATCTTTTAATCCACCCCTTTTTCCCCAAATTTCCCCACTTCGAATTTTTTGCATAATATTTACACCCCCCTTTTTGCCTTAGACGGAGATACCCACTGCCCCCAAACCCATCCCCTTCTGTGATTTACCACCCAAGCTTCACATCCATATAAGATGTTGGTACTACTATACTTTCATACTTTCCCCTTTTTTTCCCTCCTGATAGCTTTTTTTTGACTCCAATTACCTCAAGCACCACTCCCCTTTTTTTCCTTCATAAATTCTATGATTAACCTGACCCTTATAAATCCCCCGCCGACACGTCAATCCCAATATTGAAAAACTTTCCTTCTTCCTACTCCTCCCCCCCAAATTTGATATCCAATTTTTTTTATCTAAATCATTTGATACCCTCATCACCTTCTCTTTTTCTATGTTCACTTTCAATTTTACCTTACACCATTCCAAACCACACTAACCTTTGAAATTTTTTCTTTGAATCTTCCATAAGCACAGTAAAACCAGCGAAAATAACTGTGCAATTCCCCATTTTTTTTTGATTCCCAAAATTTAATCCCCCCCCCTCCCCGACCCCCTGATTTATTCCTTTACAAACCCCATCTATAAATTATTAAACAACCATGGTGACATTAACACCCCTGTCTAAACTCTTTTACGGGAGTGTCCCCCTCTTTTCTACACCCCCTAACCTGACCTCACATCCTCAAAAAAAACTTTACGATTTAATATTTCCACTTTTTCCATATACTTGCAAATCTGCCACATTGCTCCTTATCCACTCTACTTATCCCTTTTCTAAATCCTAAATGCAAAAAAAACTTCCCTCCCTTTTATCTAAATCGTTAATATATGCTTCAATGTAAACACTTGGTCTACACATCCCCACCCACTCTGAAACCTCCCCCCTCATCGCAACCCTCTTTGTCTTCCCTTTAAATTCTTTCAATTAAAAACCCTACCGTACACTTTCTGGTATATCAAAAATTTTTTCCCTCTTAAAAATTTTTCAGTTCTTTGTCCCCTTTCCCTTTTATATGAAGGGCTTACATGCTTTGCCATTAGGTCCTTCCCCCTTTTTTTTCATTTTATTAAACAAAAGTCCAACCACCCCAAAACACTATATCCCCCCTGTTTTAACATTCTGTCCATGTCCCTCATTTCCCAGCTGCTTTCCCCCTTTTTTTTCGTAATCCCTCATCCCTCCCCCCACTTACATTCGCTTTTTCATCAAAAGAGGGAAACCTCCCTGCCCAGTGATGAAATTACTCCCTTGTTTTTTCCTTTAAACTTTTAAAAAATTTCCCCAAAAAATTTTCTCGCCTTTATTTAAACCTCAACCCCCCTTACAAACCCCCCTACTTTTTTAAACACCCTATTTTCCCTAGGCTTTTTACTTGTTTAACTCACCCCAAATTTTTTTTTTATTTTCATTAAAAAATTTTTGACGTCCTCTCCCATCTTTATCTGCTCCCTTTTGCCTTTCCCACTCTCTTTCCTTTCTTTTACCCCCATATACTCGGCTTTCTTATAACACTTTGCTTTGTAAAACCTTCATAAGCTCCTTTTTTCTTTTATCACACCCTTTACTTCATCATTCCCCAATCATTTTTTCCCCCTGCCCCCACCCTCCTAAAAACACAAACTTTCCCCCATTTTTAAAATGCATTTTTAAAACTACCCCCCCTTAGACCCCCCCCAAACCACTTTGCCTACCCCATTTTTTCTGCCAATAGTCGTTTATTCTCCGAACTTCCCCACCCTTTAGTTTTTTTACACTTTCACCCCCCTCTTCTTGTTGTTGCCACCTTCCTTTTTCCTTTTCCCTTTACCCTGTAGTTTCAACAAAAAATGATCTGATATATCATTCCCCCTCTAAAAAACATTACATCTGGAGCCCCCCATCAACTTTTTAAACCCACCAATACATATTAACAAATATTTATTAAAAATAATATATATATATATATATAATTTTTTAAAATTTAATAATATAAAATATAATTTTATTTATAATA